TCCCTGGTACCCAGCCCTCTCCCAGACTAGCCTGTGGACGGGCTTGGCCCACCTCTGAGCACCAATGCCTGGTAGCTTCCTTCACTGGTGATGGTAATGGGGTCGGGGAGAGGAGACTGGCTCTTTGTCATCTGGGTGATGGTTTGAGGTGCACTCCAGTCTCGTCAAGTTGCCCTTGGAAGCTGCTCACCGAAACTCTGCTTACTCACTTCTTTCCTTCTCCCTGTGCACCCTGGGATTGTCTTTCATTTAGCCACATTCTATAGCAGTCCTTACCTCAGTGTCCATTTCTAGCCTGACCTGAAGGTGCTCAGTGCTGAACCAGCTGGATGGGTTGGAAGAGGAGCAAAGGCTGGGAAAGTGGGGCCAGGATGGAGTACACATGACCCCTCTGGCCGCTGCAGTGAGCCCTCAAACACGCAGTTCTGAGGTCTGAGGACAGGCTCTTCCTGGGGCTTAAGAGTCCATTGCTGCCATGTCCTCATCCAGAGGTTGCCACATTTGCTGGCTTGGCTATTTTTTCAGTATCAAGCCAGCGATGTCTCTTCCGCAGACTTCATGCCTGTTGTTATATCCACTCTGATCCCTACCTTCCTGTTACCTTATTCCAGGGATGCCCTGGCTCTTCTGGGCTCACTGGGATAACCTAGCACCATCTCTCACTTCAAGATCCTCTACTGAGTCTGGGGGATGGCGTGGTTGGTTAAGTCTTTTCTGTATAAGCTTAAGGAGAGGGGTTCAATCCCTGGAACCCACTGTCATGTGGCATGGTGGCTTGTACCCCCAAGTGCTGGGGTTCAAGCAGAAGCAGGCAGGATCCCTCAGGCTCTCTCACACACACAGAAAGAGAGGCACATGCACACACACGATTGGTGGCTGCACTCAAAAAGATATCTGAAGTTAGTCCCTGGCTTCCACATACCCATGCATATGCACCCCAAGTCATGCAAGCACATACAGACAAGAATGTGCACACAAAAATTCTCTACTAAATGATGTGGGAACCAATAAGCAGCTTTCTCCTACAACTAAATAGCACCTACAGGATCCCTCTGTCCTGTGACCTTACCTACCCCCCAAGATTGAACACAGACATTGGGACACAATTGTATCAATTTCACCACACCCTGAGAACCAGGAAGCACCCTGTAGGTAGGAATGCCAATCACATGTCTCTCTGGTACTCTCCTGGGCTTGGAACCCTGGCCATCCAGCTACTGTGGTGTAAGGCAGTATAGCTGCAACAGGGAACTCCTTGGCGGACAGGCTTCACCTCTTTAGATCGGCAGATTTGGGTCAGCAGTGCGTGAAAGATTCCTGGAGAGCTGATTGATGATCTCTGAGACGGCCAGGCTGTTGACCTCCATGTGCTATGTGGTCTCACAAAGATGCAAAACTGTTTGTTAGAGGTGCTTGTGTGTGTGTGTGTGTGTGTGTGTGTGAGAGAGAGAGAGAGAGAGAGAGAGAGAGAGAGAGAGAAAGAGAGAGAGTGTGTGTATTTGAGAGAGACAGTGTGAGTGTGTGTGAGTGTATGTGTGTGTGTGTGTGAGAGAGAGTGTGTGTGTGTGTGTGTGTGTGTGTGTGTGTGTGTGTGTGGAGCCTTCATCTTCACCCTCTCTTTGCCCAGCATACTCAGGAGAGATGGAACATGACAGGGACATCAAGGGTCCAAGTCACTCACTCTTGAAGGTTTGCTTATGGTGGGCTGGTCAGGTATACATGGGGTTGCTGGGCATCCCACACACAGGGCTTTGCACTCCTGGCCTGGCGGGGAGCTGGGGGCTCCTGGATCCTGCCATGAGTTCCAGCACTGCTGGGATGGACTCCTATGTATCTATCCTGCTGATCCGTTTGTGGCCACTGTTCTGGTTGCTGGATATCTCAAGGCACAGATGTCCCATGGGCTCATCCTGGGAGAACATGCCCCTTCAGCCTTCAGTCACAGGCACTGTGGTTGGATAAGGAGACAGAAGTCAGCTCTCTAAGACAGACATGCTGTCTGTCACAACCTTGCGTGTTGATCTGCCACAAGGAAATCCCTAGGGACTCAGCTTCAGGCTAGGGGTCCTATGTGGTCCTGTAGCCCATCTTACTGCTCAGGAGCTGCTTGCCCTGACTAGTCAGGAGCAGATCTCTGGGCCACTTCCATGCCCCCCTGCTCCAGTAGCTGCGCTGCTGGTTGTCACCGCCCACGGTTAGGACGTAGCTGCAGCTGGCCTCACGTGGCAGAGCCAGTGGGGAATTACAGCTCCTGAAGGCCTCCAGCATCAGAGAAATTCGGGAAGGCACGGGGCTTATTAAAACGCTGAAATTGGTTCTAAATGAGGTCAGCCATCGTCCATGAGCCTTGGAGCAAAGCCAGGCACTGAGCAGAACACGGAGCCTATTTCCTGACGCGATGACAGTGACATCCCGGGTGCCACCCCCAGCCCACCCCCACCTTGGGAGGGCAGCTGACACAGTCAATCCCTAGCAGAATCAGCAGGGTCGGGGTGCAGGAAGAGTGGGAGAGAGGGCTCTCCCCTATCATTGGACCTCCCAGACACCATGATAAATTGCTTCTAGACAGTTCAGTGTTTATAGGCGTTCAAAGGACCTGCGATACAGGTGAGATGAGTGAACATGGTTCCCATCTGACCTCTCCAGGGTCAGATCTCTCCTTTACAAGATGAATAAGAGGAAGGGCAAATATTGATAACAATAATAAATAAAACTAAAGCCAACCAAGATTGAAATGTAAGGGCTGGGGAGATGGCTCAGTCGGTAAAACGATTGCCTCAAAGGTATAAGGGCTTGAGCTCAAATCCCAGCTCCCATCTGAAAAAGCCAGGCCTGGGCGCGGTGGCACACACTTTAAATTCCAGCACACAGGAGGCAGAGGCAAAGCAGACAGCCCTATGTGAGTTCAAGGCCAGCCTGGTCTACTTAGTAAGTACCTATCTATAAATAGATAGATAGATGATAGATAGATATATAGATGATAGATAGATGGTAGATAGATGATAGATAGTAGATAGATGATAGATAGGAGAGAGAGAGAGAGAGAGAGAGAGAGAGAGAGAGAGAGAGAGAGAGATGAAGAGGAGGGCTCTCTATCGATACTGGCCAGCACATCCTCATGACTCCTGTGGTGACTGTCCTGACCTTGATTGTCAGGGTGCATCCCTACCCTTTATTCTGCTAAAAGAACCCATTTTGGGATCCCTTAATGCTGCCCTACCCTGCTCTGCCCTGCTGTCCTGCTCATGGAGGCTCCGTCACCCTGGGTACCCATCTCCCCCTCTTTGTGGCTTTATCCCCTTGTGTGTCCGCTGGGGACAACTTCAGGCCAGTTTCTCAAAGCCAGCAAAGCAGGCAGGCCCACTTCCCTCTCCTGCTAACTACCAGGACTGGGTAATTGTTACTTCTGCAGTTGGCTGAATCACTTCTGCCAGCCTCCCAGCCTTGTTCCGAGCTGTAGAACGGGAGTGCTCTCTGAATCTGTTAAAAATAACAGTGTGTGCGGCACTCTGCTGTTTACTAAGGACCGTGCTTCTCCTCCTCTGAGCGCCGAGCGAGCGCAACTGTTGCTCTCACCCTGGATCCAGGAGAGAGACTCAGCTCGCTGCAGTCAGGTTCCTGCCTTCTTAGGAGACTGAGGCCCTTAGGAGCCTCACTACCCCAGGTGACCCCAGGGCTCACTGAACACCAGGCCGTGGCTGAGCAAAGCACACCCCCACCTCAGGGCCTGTGATCTTGTCTTGGCTTTGCAGAGAGATGTGCGATGCACCTACTTAGCCCTGGACCTCTGACTCTCAGCTTCCCAGGGGCAAGGCTGGGATTCCCTGGAAATGCCACCTGTGTGCAGGACAGGGGTCCCTTTTCCTTGGTGGGACAGAGCTCAGCGCAAAATAGGCCTTGCTGCCGGCTCAGGCTGAACGACTGTGTTTCTGAGAAAGCAGGAGGAAAAAGAGTGAGAGAAGGAAGGGGGGAAGGACTCACAGCTCAGGTGCAGAGGAGGGTGGCTTTGGATAAAAGCAGGAGGGGAAAGTAGAATTTGGGGGCAGGGAGTGGTAGGGGCAGTGGGGGTGGGGGGGCAGTAGTACATGTCCAACTGTTTCTCATCCTGAAAGGGACAGAACCGAGCAATGGGAAGTTCCACACTTCAGATTGGTGGTCAAATGGTGCAAAGGCCCTGTGGTAATTATGGGAGAAATAGGGTGGGGACCAGATGGCCTGAGAGGCAAGAGGAAGTAGTACCTTTGAGAACTTTAGAGAGGAACAGGTGTGCCCCACCCTCCTGTTCCCTGAGGATGGTCCCCACAACCAGTCACCTCGCTGGGGGGCCGTCTCTCCATTCAGCTCCCTGTCTGCCTGCCCTGTTCCATCTTCTCCGGTGGCACCCCATGCCAATCTGTACCCCGGCGCTGCACCCACTCCTTCTGTAGCAGCCGTGGCGCCAGCTGGAGCCCGTGGGGAAACAGGAGAAAAAGTGGGAACAGCAGGCCTGGGAGAAAGTGTCTAAACATGGACTATTTGGGGACTGCCTTTTATTTTCAGTTTGAAATTTGTCCACCCTCCAGTATTGTAAAAAAAAAAAAAAAAAAAAAAAAAACAGGAGCCAGAAGCCCACCAGTCACTGTTACCTGGAAGAGATCCTCAGATCTCAGATGGATCGTGTATAGGGGACCTGGCACCTGGCTGCCTGTGAGGCGGCCACTGGGGCCTGGCTGGAGGCATCCATAGGACCGATGGCTGCAGAGTAACTGTTTCCAACAGGCGTCAGAGCATTGTTGGAGGACATCAGCTGTTCTGCTTTGATTGTCCTGATGATGTCCATGTGTCATTAGGGCCAATTAGGGGAGGATGGGAGCAAAGTGTTTGCCCCAGGGCACGGGCTGGTGGGAGGGCCACCAGGACAATTGAATTCCCCACCAGACAAATGTGATTAGGTGCAGCCTGGCCCAACCCCACCGGACAGGCATAAATGCCCCGGTGGGGCTGGCGCACTCACCCCAGTCATGCCGGCTCACCGCACCCACCAGCGCTGCTGGAGCAGCCTCCCCAGCCCCAGTGTTCGTGAGGCTGCCTCCATGTATAGTACAGCTGTGGCCATCTTCCTGGTCATCCTGGTGGCTGCACTGCAGAGCTCCGAGCCTCCGGAACACCCCTTCCCCTACCACATCCCCCTGGACCCCGAAGGGATCCTAGAGCTCTCGTGGAACATCAGCTACGACCAGGAGATCATCCACTTCCAGCTCGAGGTGCGAGGGCCGAGGGCTGGGGTTCTGTTTGGAATGTCAGACCGAGGCGAGATGGAGAATGCTGACCTCATCATCCTCTGGACTGACGGCAACAGATCCTACTTCGCGGTGAGTCCTCTCCCACCTCGCTATCCTGCCCTCGTGCCCATACCCCCTTGCTGGCTATCTTCACACAGCCGTGGGCCACAACCCACAGTGGAAGCTTGCCTGCTGCTTCTGTGCATGGTGTCACTGATCTGAATTAAGCCTGTGTACCCCCATCAGCATCAGAGGCGCACTCACTAGATGATGAAATGCTGGGGGGGGCTCTTCCTACAGTCCTTGACTGCACCTCCAAATAATAAACGCAGCATCCCAGGAAGGATAAGCACATATGGAGGTCCCACATGCCAGGCAGCACCCCCCATCACGTGAGCACAGACCCTCCCTATCCACCAGTTTTGCAAATAGCAGTTCCATGCCACACTGCCAGTACACGCACACCTGCTGTGGGCCAGGTGGTAGCATGGGGTTTAGTAGAGCAGGCAGAATGCACGCTAAAGTGGGGCACAGCACACACAGGCCTTCTGTGCTATACTCGACAGCGGTAGAATGCAGATACGGCATGCTCAGGTGTAGGACAGCTCCACCCTCACCACACAAGCTGAGCCTAGGCCAAGAGGAGGCATCTTGTTCCTTCTATTCAAAATCGACCTGAATGCCTGCTTGCAAGGATGGCAAAGGAAGTCTCCTATATGCTGGAGCAGCCTTCAGGGACACCAACAAGCTACAGGGGTCAGCAGAGGGGGAAGAGCCCCCACAGACTTCCTCTGGGTCCCTGCTTGCCCTTCCTCTGCAGGAGGGACTGACCATCATGGCCTCTTTGGGGATGGGATTCAACTCTACACCCACAGGAAAAGGATGACTGGAGATTTCCCTTATCAAACCAGGATGTACCTTCTTCATAACAGGCTAGCCTCAACTTTGTATTAGTCCTCCTGCTCTGCTTCCCCAACGTTGGGATTACACATGAATTACTACACCTGACTAGGAGATGCCTTCTTGACCCGAGCGGGGCAGCCACTCTGCCTATTTCATAGAGTCCTTTGCTCAGAGCTGTCAGGCAGGGTGACGGGGGTGACCGTACAGTGACTCTGGAGTCACAGAAGAGGCTTCCTGGGTCCCAGAGGGCTTGCTGCTCCTTTCCCCTCTTTCCAGGCAACTTCTCCAGGCTACAGCTCCCACAGTCCTGGGAGCCTGGTGTTTCACTTTTCCACCCCTGCCTGCCAGGTTCATTTGCACAGCAAATTCCCTTGAACACATACGTCAGATTTGGGAATTGGGGCTCCTTGGGCAATGGTATTCTCAGGAGCACACTAAACTCCCAGCTGCCTGTTAGGTTCTATGCAAATTGGCAGGGTACCCAGCAGGAGGATCACACTGTTGTCCTCAGGGGAAATTTTTGCCAACTCCTTGCCTTTGCTTTCCTTGAGCTGTTACGCTAGCCCTGGAGGTAGGACTAAAGAGAAACAGCCCAAACAATCCTCACAGCAGAGACCCATGAGGTTCATGAGCCCAGAGAGAGACCTACTCACTGGGTGCCATCCCACAGCCTGCATCCTTTGCACTGGCCAGGAGCCCTGCAGGGGAAGGCAGGGAGACTGGACCAGTGATCTAGGCTCTAGGAAATACCCCGGGAGAAATACTCCAGCTGCCAAGTGTGGCTAAGGGCAGCCTCCCCAGCCCAGGCCTCAGTTTACTCTCTCCAGGCAAGGGTGGCACTAGAGTGAAGTAAGAGATGCCCAGGGAGCAGTACTTAAGGCAGCTTTTGCTCTCAATGTTATACAAGTGTGGGGTCGGTACCTGGGAGTGAGTGTCGCGTTAAATGCTGGCCTGCCTCTTTCCACTCTGGCTTCATCATCATCAGTCTGGCTCCAGGGCTCTAGCCTCAAATTTTTAACCCTGGTGTGCACTCCTGTCAGGAGCCTGGGCCACCTTAACAATGCTGTACAGTTCTGCACATGTCCCTTTAAAGCCTGAGACTCAGTTCTGTCTGACTGTCCCTGGAATTCTTGGGCACCTGTCTCATGTGTGACAGATCGGAAGTAAACTAGGTTGGGCTGAAGTTCAGACAGGAGGGGCAACATGGGTAATATGGGGGCTAGAAAACATGGCTAAAGGGTGGACTGATCACCTGGCATACATACACCCGGCCCTGGGTTTGAACCCCAGCATAGAAAAGGAATGAAACCGTTAAGATCCGACAGGAGTGAGGTTCAGCAGCTCCCTAGCCCCACTGTGTGTTCCCACGGAGCTGGTGACTCATGAGGAGTATAGAAGTGATCTTTACTAAAGAACAACCATACTCTACCGTGCATGTGCCCCTTACTGCTCGGACCCTGAGCCTGTCTCTGCAGGATGCCTGGAGTGACCAGAAGGGGCAGCTCCATCTGGATGCCCAGCAGGACTACCAGCTGCTCCAGGTGAAGAGAACTCCTGACGGCCTATCCTTGCTCTTCAAGAGACCCTTTGTCACCTGTGACCCCAAGGATTACTTCATTGAGGTAGGCTGTCCAGTCCAGGAGCACAGTTTGCCTGAACTGTCCCTGCATCCTACAGGGCTCTCTCAACTTGGGAAGCCCGAGGTGGGGCCTACACACAGGGAAAGAAAGCCCTCGAGGCCTATGGAAGCTGTTTTGAGAGGCTGTAGCTCTGCCAGCAGCATGAGTCTCCCAAAGAAGCAGCTCCCTGTGGACATGTAGTCAGTGTTCTTTCCAAATGTGAGTGGTGTTCGGAGCCCTCTTGCTCTGGGATGTAGTTCTAGCTGGATCCCATTACTGTGTCAGTAGCCCAGCATACCTGGATTTCTACTCTACCCCATTGCTAACTTGCTGTGAAGCTCAGGACCAGTCCCTTTCTCCCGAAACCTCAGTCTGCTGTCTATAAAATAAGACCAGGAGCAACTGGATTCCAATCATGGAAGGCCAAAACACCTGGGCTTCTTATCTGGTCCACAGTTAGGAAAAGCCAGTCCGTCTTTTCTCTGATGGGACCCTGGCATTCTTGTTATCTTGGTTAATCTTTCCTGACCATACTGGCAGGGGCTGGCAGTTTGTGCCCCTGTCTTAATTTAGGGCTGAAAGACAGAGTGGAGGAGATGCTGGTGCCACGGAAGAGACTCACTACTCACAGTCCCAGGGAAAGGCCCCCACAGCACGTGGGAAGCACTAGGCTCAATTACTAGGTAGAAGCAAGGGCAGATCCCCAGCAATGTGTTTTACAGGGCAAAGGCTAAGAGGGGCCTGGGAAGCACCAGGCTGGATAATTGTGACCCTTCCAGGTTACAGAGAGCTCTCTGTTTGCCCTTCCTGGCCCTGAGGCAATTTAGGGCAGGGGAGATGCTAGCTCGGAGCAGAGGTTTGAACAAAGAGTTGGTTAGTGATTTGGACTTACCTGGGCTACAGAATTTGGGAAGTGGTATATACCCATTCTAAGGCTGGATCTCAGGAATGAAGTAAGTAACTTCAGCCATTTGCTTAGATCTGCGATTGATTAATGGACATCAAACAGACAAATCCAGAATCCATGGAAACAGATGAAGAATTGAGGCCAGGGAAAGGCTAGACTAACCTATGAGCTCTTGGCACAAAGAGGCTAGAGCAAGGCCTTGGAAATGGGTCATCTGGGTCCCCACCCTCCCACAGGCAAGGCTAGAGCAGCCAGAAAAGCCAGTAAACTCCAAGAATACGCTATAAGCAGGCTGATGTTTGCATGTTCTGGGGATAGAACTTGCATGGTGTCCTCTCCAAGAGCAGACCATGGGGATCCTACCAACCAGAGCACACTGGTTGCCCACCACGAATGTGCATCCATTGGTACCCAGAAAGCATCCAAAGGTGTTTCCAGCAATGTATCCACCCAAAGCTACCAATCTCCATCCATAGCAACCAAGCCAGCCCCATCTATGTAGTCTGGGTGGGCCCTCCAGCAAGGTAATGTCCTACAGACCTTGTCTAGCTCCTGAGGCTTGGGGGGAACTAAGTCACACAGTCCACTGCCAAACTCTAGGCTCCCAAGACTGTTTTTTATCACTCCCAAAGTGGTCACTGACACCCCTTAGGTGTTGAACCAACTAGAAGAAATACTTCTTCCCTGCCCCCAGTCACCCTGAGGTTCATTTATAGAGGAAGTAAGTGTCCCAACAGGGCCCAGAGGTTGATGCATGAATGGATGCTAAGCAAAAGCAAAGAGTGTGTAAGAAAGACGAAAAATGTTCGATGGGCAGGGACAGGATTCCAGAAGCAGCCTGGGCCAGGCAGAGCTTCTAATCTTCTCATTTGCAAAGCTGACAGAGAGTGAGGAACTTTACCTGGGAGGAGTGAGTGGATGGGCAGGGGCATGGCTTCCTTCGCTCATCACTGAGCTTATGCTGGCTCTGAGTGGTTCTGTCTGGGCTGCAGGATGACACTGTCCACCTCGTGTATGGGATCCTGGAGGGGCCATTCCAGTCGCTGGAGGCCATCAACACCTCAGGCCTGTATACGGGATTGCAGCGCGTGCAACTTCTAAGGACTGAGGTCCCCACTCCAGACATGCCTGCGGATGTACAGACCATGGAGATCCGGACCGCGAACGTTGTCATCCCTGACAATGAGACCACATACTGGTGCTATGTCACTAAGCTGCCCCCAAACTTCTCTCGACACCACATCATCATGGTACGCAGGGGCCCAGCTGCTCTGCTTCCCACCAGGGGCCCAAGACCTATTGTAGTCCTCTTAGCGCATGAATCTGCAGTATTGCCCTGGTCCTCTGTGACCCTGTCACTGTCTGCCTCAGGGCCCCTGTATTCCTGTCTTACCTGCCTGGACCAAAGCAATATATTTTTTTTTAATTTCTAAGATTGCCCTTGAGACGAAGTGCTGTCAATTTTTCCAGCAACCTCCCTTCCTGTTAAAGTGGCTCATTGCAACTGCTCCAAAGTTGCAACTAGGGACTTCCTCAAAGTGCTGCCCAGAACCAGATACTGTCCCTATTCTAGAAGAGGAAGAATAACTCAGAAAGGTCTTGTGAGTACCCAGGGTCACACAGCAACGAGTAGTCTGGTTGTATAGCTATGCTTGAGGTCCCAAGCTTTAACCTTGAGGCTTCTCTTGCTTCCCAATGGAGCTTGCTTCCCAGGAACACAGAGTCACCCCATTCATACAAGGACAGCTGCCTTCCTAGTTCCACCTTACCGGGGGTAGTCTATGTGGGCCCCTCCCTCCTTCCCCAGAGCTCTTCATGGGTTGTGGAACTTCCTGTCTCTGGATTGGCAGTCCTCAGCACCTGAAGTTGTCTTACTTACCCTTCTCATTTATATACAGCTGAGCAGATGAGGACCAGCTGGTCCAGCAGAGGGGGGTGGTGATTGGGCAGGTACTGGGCTCCCGGCTCAGGGTGTTCTGTTCTCCTGCAGTATGAGGCCATTGTCACCGAGGGCAATGAGGCCCTGGTGCACCACATGGAAGTCTTCCAATGTGCATCTGAGTTTGAGACCATCCCCAGCTACAACGCACCCTGTGACTCCAAAATGAAGCCTAATCAACTCAATTACTGTCGCCACGTGCTGGCCGCGTGGGCCCTGGGGGCCAAGGTATGTATATATTGCTACATGCCTGCTCTAGTTTGCTTTCTGTCACACTTTGGCTTGCATTGCCAGGTCACAGTCCATCATAGAGGGAAGTCAAGGCAGGAACTCAAGGCAGGCCTGCTTGATCCCTCTGACAGAGGAACTCATAGCCAAGGAAGTATAGCAGGGATCCTTGGAGGATACTGTTTACAAGTGGGTTTGCAGACCAGTTTATACTCAGATAGCTTTCTTACACCGTCCAGAGAATGGCATTGCCCATAGTGGGCTTGACCCTCCTATGTCAGTTAAGAATCAAAACAAACCTCATAGACAAGCCCATAGGCTGCCCCTCCTATATCAAGAAAGAATCAAGATAAATTTCATGAGTATGCCCACAGGCCAATCCGATGTAGGTAATTCCACAGCTGATATTCTCTTGGGATGATTCTAGGCCTTGTCAATTGGACAGTTTAAAGTTACTTAAGATGGCATTACGTCATCCCCAGGCCTCCTTTGACGTCCTTAGGACTTTAACTCCCTGCACCCACATCCTAAAAGGACCCGAGAGAGATGGAAAGGGGGGCGTGCAAGGCCCTCAACAGCCCCAGTAGCCTCTAGGATTCTTGAGCTTCACTGTTCATTGGAGCCACAAAGGCTCCTTCCAGCCTTCTGGGAAAACGCACGTGACCTTGAGTGTATACCTCTCACAGGCACCGCCGCTGCTGCAGAGATCTGGGGCCTGTGCACAGCATGATCTTCCTGCGGCAGGGCAAGCTGTCGGCAAACTCTGCCCAAGAGTCTCACCCAACCCTTCCCTGGCCTACACCAGACGATGGTGAGGGCAGGAGCGGAGGATCTGGGAGGAGCTCAGTCCAGTCTCAGTGCCCTCCTGGTAGGGCCGTCTATGTGTGACAGCAAAGACTGTTAGCTCCAGGAGAGCTTCCTTCTAATCCAGTCACTTGCTGATATCACCAACTTCTGCTCAGGCTCCAGAAGCTGGGCAGGTTTGTTCCAGGCTCCCCTACAGACCTCTGTCTTATACCCCTGTCCCACGCAGGCATTTTACTACCCAGAGGAAGCTGGTGTCGCCTTTGGGGGCCCGAACTCTTCCCCGTATCTCCGACTGGAGGTTCACTATCACAATCCAAGGCACATACACGGTAAGAGTGTGGAGAGTACATCTTCCCACCCCACTTGGTCTCCTCAGAGACGCTTGGGTGCAGCTTGTCCAGACAGAGAGAACACGGGGTGTGTGTGCATGCCAGAGACAACACAAGCGTTTTGCCCTTTGTCTACGTTATTGTGGTCAGCAACCTAATGAGTTCCCAGGCCGGCTTATGGGTGGCCCCTCAAGTCAGGGCTCTGATTGACTAGTGATGTCTGCCATAGACACTGGCCCCAGTGCTTGGTGCTGTGCTATTGAGCTCCTGAACACCCAGTGAAGACAGAGCTCCACAGATCCCATGTGGTGGGCAAGATGTCAAGTCTACCTCTTCCCAGGGTTGCCAAGCAGACCTTAGATCCTGAAGGCCAAGGATCTGTGGCCAGTCCAGCCAGGTGCTGACTGCTCAGGACCAGGTTCTTTCCCCAGTTCATGGCATGTGTGTAGACAGACCAAGCTGTCCAGTTAGCTTAGAAATGCCCAGGGCAGGACCACACCTGCCCACCTGCTCCTAATCCCCTGCATGCGTGGAGTTGGAAAAAAGCAGCCGGCAGCTTGCTAGGCCTGAGAATACTCTGTTAGGCAAGGGAATCTAGACACAATCATGCTGCAAAGAGCTTCTAGAAGAGAGACAAGGTGTGTGTGTGATCTGTCTGTGTGTATCTGTGTCTATGTGTGTATCTGTGTGTCTGTGTATATGTGTGTCTGTGCGTGTGTATCTGTGTGTCTATGTGTGTATCTGTGTATCTATGTGTCTATGTGTGTATCTGTGTGTCTGTGTGTGTGTATCTGTGTGTCTATGAGTGTATCTGTGTGTCTATGTGTGTATCTGTGTGTCTATGTGTCTGTCTGTGTGTCTGTGTATCTGTGTGTCTGTGTGTGTGTCTATGTGTATCTATGTGTCTATGTGTATGTCTGTGTGTTTATGTGTATGTTTGTATGTGTGCATCTGTGTGTGTGTCTGTGTTCATATTTGAATATAAGGGAAAGGCAAGGACTCGTGAAAGCATCCACATGATGGGATTGGAATTTTGGTAGTATTTAGTAGGGATCTTGAAGGCACAGCGCATTCTCAGTTAAGGACAAGGGAAGCCATCATTATGGCTAGATCACCCCATGCCTGAAGGTGAGCAGCTTGAGGGGTCATTAAGGGAGTTGACAGAGGACACTACATCAGAAACTAAATATTTCTTTGCTCTTGTACCCCATTTTCCATCAAACGTCCTCACTTCCTTCCTCTCCCCCTCCCTCTTCCTCTTCCTCTTCCTCACTTCTTCCTTTTGAGTGAGACATGTCTTCATCTATGTACGTGAGGAGCAGAAAGGGCCTGATAGACATAGACAGCGGCCATAGTAAGACAGGAGCAGCCCCTGCATCCCGCTCCCAGCTGGGTGTGGACACTGCCTGTGCAAGTTTAATGATGCGAGCGACTTTCCCTCCAGGCTGTATAAGCAATGCCGCTGCTGCCGCAGGAATTATCTACAGCATGCAGGGGAGGTGAGATGGCTGGGCCTGAGCACCATGGGGGATTTATTGCTCATTTAAAAGAGGAGAGCAAATGGATTTTTGAAAACTCCCTGGGCATCAGGAAAGTCTGTCTCCCCTCGTCATCTGCATGTATTTATGGATCTTTTGCCAAATATAAGGGTGCGCCTGTCAGTTGGTGAATTCTGAGACGGGCTGCTTTTCTATTAATATCAAAATCCACGGTTATCTCATTATTTAATCCCATCTAAATTTTAACCAATTGCGGCTTCTTTTTATTATTTGCCTCTGATGTCATCAGCCCAGAGATACAAGGGGCTGTTTGAGTTTGGATGTTGTTGGCTTGAGGAAGAAGGGAGGTGAAGACAGCAAAAGGGAGGTGCCCTCAGATTCAATGAGAAGATTTCCAGAGCCTGCCAGCAACATCCTGCATTCCAGCCAGTTGGTCCTGGTGTGGGGGCCCAGTTCAACTGTTCCCAGAACTTTGGTTTTAGGCGGAGTCTTCCACTCAGCCTCCAGCTTTGGTTTCTCCACTGTAGATGGGAACAACGGAAAAACTCACATCGAGGTGACAGGTGACCTGAGAGCAGCTCTGGCTCCACTCTTCCTTGCTCTCTTGAATCAGAAAGCGTAACCAAGCACAGGGTCCCCTAAGGGGTGGCTCAGGGGCTGCAGCTCACTACCTGTCCCTTCCCCAGGCCGGCATGACTCCTCTGGCATCCGCCTATACTACACAGCCACTCTCCGGAAATACAATGCAGGCATCATGGAGCTGGGCCTGGTGTACACGCCCGTGATGGCCATCCCTCCTCAGGAGACTGCGTTTGTCTTGACTGGCTACTGCACAGATGAGTGCACCAGGGTGGTGAGTGGATTGGTTCCCTGACACTTGCGCTGACCAGGGGAGGGCAACACGAGATGTTTCGGACCCCTAACCTGGAATCAAGACTGTCTGAGTCGCTGCACCCCCTTCTCCAGCAAGAACTGGGCCATGCCCATGCACCCACACTTCCGTGTGCCACTTTTAAAATTTGTATTTATGTGTGTGATTATATACCGTGTGTGTGTGTGTGTGTGTATGTGTGTGTGTGTGTGTGTGTGTGTGTGTATCTCTGCAGAGACCAGAAGAGGGCAGTGGATCCCCTGGAGCTGGAGTTAGGTGGTTGTGAGCCTCCAGACCAGGGCACTGGGAAAGGAACCCAAGTCCTCTCTCTGGAAGAGCAGCAAGCATTCTTACTTGCTGAGCCATCTCTTCAGTGAACCCCATACAGCACATTGTTAACTGGTTTTGTTATGGGAGTATCAAAACTTCCAAATGGGACTCATCTTTTACAGGCTACCCAGCCCCCATCATGCCATGCTTCAGTACCAGACAGGGACTAGAGGAGTCAGCAAAGTGCCTAGTGCATCCCTGAGGCTGTACAAGTACAGGGTGATACAGCAGGGTAAAGCTGATGGGACCCTGGCTTCTGCAGTAAGTAAGCATGGCTCCTAGGCTGTGCCAGGGAGCTCTGATCCTCAGCTGCGACGCTGTCATAACTGGGCTCACCTCTCCCATAGCAAGAAGTTGCAATGGATCTGGTGTGAGACGTGTCCTGCCATGGAGGTCTAGAGGATCCACAGGTCTCAGTAAGGGTAGGGACAGCCCTCAGTGGGGGGTCTCACAGAACTCTCTAGACTGTCTTGTCTGCAGTGCCTCCCCACTCATACTACAGGCAGGAAGTTGTGGCGTTCCTCCGTGGTTTGGGAGGCAGGCAAGTACACAGACCTGTAGCTCTCCCTTGTTTGTAGTCTCTGCTCATTTCTGCCAACATCTGCTCTTGCCCCTTGTAAAGATCTCAGGCTGGCTGCCATGGGCCTTGCTGTCTAGAGCTCTTTTACTATCACAGATGTGACTTCACTGTCTGCTATGTGACTTGTGTTCTCTGCTGGCTGCCGCTTCTTATAATGGCTTGTCAGGAAAGTGTAGCTAGACCTGGATCACAGACAGGGAGACACAGGTCGGCCAAGGGAGGACACAGATCCCAAAGCTGCACCGCGGAACCAGGTTGCTTTGTTACAGAGCCCATAGTGAATTCCCCTCCCCAGCATATTCATGGGTTGACACCTGTTCTTGAGTCCTCCCTACCTGAGCACCTGATCTTTCAAGTATTAGCTTGGCCCAGTGCTCTCAGGCTAAAACGCTGGACACATCAGTTCTTATTCTCAATCAAAGACTAGCCTGAGACCAGGATGAGAAATCAACCTCCCTCCCCAGTCAAAACAGACAGGTCAGACAGGTGATGCTGGCTTCTGAGACCTGTGTCCACATCCCAGCACACGCCTGCATCCCACGTTCCGTAGTAGTGATCCCGGGCCCAGCATACATGTTATCACAGATGTAGTCACCAAGGTCCCTGGTTTTCATTGCAAGAGGGATAATGATATCCACAATGTGAAGGGCAGGGCCAGTAGCTGACAAGCAAGACAGAAGGTTCAGAAGTAAAGACGTAGAAAGCTCAGCTGTCCAGGGTCATCCACTGCCAACTGTCAGCACCAAGGTCTTCAGCTCTGGCTGGCAGCATCAAAGGAGCAGAGGACCATGGCAGGGCGGCAGAGAGGTGGGAGAGTCGTCATGCTTGATACATCTGAGAAAACTTAGTATCGAAAGACATGAGCACAGATTAGGAAAACCGCTGGAAGATGTCCTCGTGTGTTGATGAGGAAAGGAGGACTTCTCACAGGAGGGCTGGTATCTTTTCCCCACTGGCTTAGAGATGAGCATCATTGCTCTTGACCAGGGTCACGTTGACCTCAGAGACCATGTGGTCTCCTTTTGTGAACAGGGCACTCCGAGGCCTGCTGGGGACCTTGAACATGATGGGAATTGCAGCACATAACTGACAGAAAACCCACAAAGAAGGGAAGTCCTGTCCAGTCAACAGGGAACAGGCATCTTCTGGCTGAGGAGAAAGAGAATTCAGTCTTCAGGCACCCCAAGGAGGCCCAAGGACAGGGGTGTCATTGGCCCTGAATGCATTCACGTCTGGCTGCTGGTTGGGGCTTCTTGCTTCAAAGTCTTGAGCTTCTGGCCATAGCCCTCTTTTAAAGAAACCACTCTCGCCAGGCAGTGGTGGAGCACACCTTTAATCCCAGCACTCGGGAGGCAGAGGCAGGCGGATCTCTGTGAGTTTGAGGCCAGCCTGGTCTACAAGAGCTAGTTCCATGCCAGGCTCTAAAACTACAGAGAAACAAAAAACAACAACAAAAAAACAAACAAAACAAAACAAAAAAAAAAAAAACACAAGCCACTCTCCGGCAGGTTTATAATAGAGATCAGTAAGAACCATCTAGAAAAAGCAACTGTTCTGGCAAGCCAAGGGTTGCTGCTCTGCTCTAGGCCTGACTCTGCCCCTCCCACAGGCGCTGCCGAACACTGGAATCCACATCTTCGCCTCACAGCTCCATACACACCTGACCGGCAGGAAGGTGATCACTGTGCTCGCCCGGGGTGGCCAAGAGAGTGAGATCGTGAACAGAGACAACCACTACAGCCCCTTCTTCCAGGTGGGGACCTGCCTGTCATCAGCCTCTCAGACCTTCCGTTTCCCAGGGCTGTCCTCTGACATTTGGTGGGGGAGCCTGGCCAAGCCGCTGGGTGTCAGCAATGTCTTGGTGACAACTTGATTGATCTTGTCTCCTCCTGATTGGAGCCCATACTTAGTCCCGACTCCCCGGAGAGATTGAGACAGAACTGATAACCCGGGGTGTCTGGACGAGGGCCCACAGCTCTCTCACCTCCTGTCTTCCCCACTCCAGGATATCAGAATGCTGAAGAAGGTTGTGTCTGTCTTGCCGGTGAGTGAATATCCAACAGGGACAGTTGCCCGGGGCCGGGGATATTTGGAGAACACTGTGCCTAAAGAGAGAAAGGGAAAGAAGTAGGCCAGGAGAAAGTCTCTGGGCAGGCACAGCAGGCCTGGGTGAAGTTCATGTGGATTTCGTGGAACAGAAGGGACATTGCCTTCTAGCTTCAGCTGAACTACAGTTCCTAAGAGTCTCACCCCCTGAGAATGCTAGAGAGAGATGGGGGTGCCAAGATGCAGTCCTTACCCATGCAGAGGCTGGAGCTCTGATATAGTCAGCCAGGCCTCTAATAGAGAGACATCCCAGGGATACTTAGATGTGAGCCTCATTGGGGAGGGTTCTGGGTTCCTCGCGGGAGATCACACATCCCGGTGACTTGGTCACCAGGAGGATGAGCTGAGCACACCTGTCAGCCCTGAGTGGGCAGGTGCTAATGTGTCTGCCACCTCACTCTTCAGGGGGACGTACTCATCACTTCTTGCACATACAACACGGAAGGCAGGAAGCTGGCCACCGTGGTAAGTCACACTGGCTTGTCCAGCCCCCACCCCCCAGAAAGAGTCTGAGTAAAGATTTCTAACCTCTCCTGTAGTTGAGTGTAGGCTGCCAGAGGCAGACCTGTTCCTCTCGCATTCCCCGAATGGACCGGATACTCTCAGGCCATGCTTCTGGATCCCTGTCTCGAGCAATCCTCCTCCCCCAGATCCCCAGTGCTTTTTATCCAAGCAGCATGCATGCTGGGGCTCTACACTGGCCCCACAAGGAAGCGATGCTGTCAGTAGGGCTTCAGGGCCTCCTCTCAGAGCCACTACAGTGAGTTCTCTTTCTCCGGCATGGCAAGAAGCACTGTGGAGCTCCAAGTCCATCTGGGGAGACAGGACACGTCTGCTACAGGAGAAGCAAAGTGACGGGGACACAGAAACTTCACCAGAGCCAAGACATCACCCAGAGATGACAAGAGGGGTGTGAGCTCAAGGGTAGAGCCAGGGAGAGACAGAAAAGAGCTCTACACAGGGGCAAGTGCCAGAGGCCCCAGAGGATAACAGTTCTCGGGATGGGGCGATGTTCAGTTACGGCAGGGTGGAGATGTGGGTAGCACCAGGCAGGTGGGTGTGGCTGGCCACTCCAGAGAAGTGACAGGGGTCTTCTTTTGGCTGGACTGTGGACAATCCAAGGAGGAGGAGCACCTCGAGGGAGGACTATTTTCAAATGTGAGGTGTACAGGAAGTGTCTCATCCATTTGGGACCCGTTGGGCAGGGAGAGGGACACTTTCCAGAGCTGTCTTGGGTCACCACTATTCCCAGCCATTCGTCCCACTGACCTTTTTTCAAACATTAACTTTATTTTATGTGCATTGTTCTGAAGGTGTCAGATTCCCTGGAACTGGACTTACAGACAGTTGTGGGCTGCCATGTGGGTACTAGGAACTGAACCCAGATCCTCTGGAAGGGCAGTCAGTGCTCTTAACCACTAAGCCATCTCTCCAGCCCCTCCCACTGACCTTTTAACTGATCCCCGAGCACCCAACAATTAACACATCAACTGTGATGTTCATAGTGGGCCAGACCTCGGGCTACATCCCACCCTGGCACCCCCGCACCCCAGAATCTCCCATCGATACTCTAACACTAATGTCTGCACAGTGACCCACGCCTTCTGCCAAGGTCCAGGGTCCCCCCACCCCCGTTCTGTTTCCCATGTGCTCTTTAAATAGCTTTATTGTGAGATGATTCCCACACCGCACAGCTGAAGTGTGTGAAGTGTGCAGCTCGTTGCCTGGAAGCACATGCACAGATCCATGCACACCATCAACCCACAGCTGTCACCCTCCCCCCATCCCCTCGCCCAGCCCAACAAACAGATCCGCTTGCTCTGTCCCGGACATTTCTCATTGCTGGATTTGCATGATATGCAGCCTTCTGTGACGGGGTTGTTTTCCGTGTGTTTAATCCATCTTAGATTCATGTCGGCCTCAAAGGCAAGCGTTTTCCCCCTGCGCTTTCATAGGCATCATCTCCTCCCTGCAAGTACATCTGCTGCGGGTGGGGGCGGGGAGGCCCCGGGCCTGCTCTGCCACAGGTGTTTCTGCCAGGGCTGTGTTCCTGTCTTGCCAGCTTCATGGCTAAGAACTAGTGCCTCGCTTGTCCCAGGATGTTCGTGGCCGTGGTCCAGCAAGCACCTAAGATCTCAGATCCTTAAAAGATGAGATACCTTCTGGTGACTTCTTAGGGTGGCTCCATCTGGGATCTGAGGGAATGGGAGCTCCCAGGAGGCAGACATGAGCTTCCTGGTTCTGACAACCGGAGGATCTAAAGAGATGGTGGTGGCCTTTGAAGGCAGCTTCCGTCCCAAAGTGAGACAGGAGCGGAAAGCAATCCAGGCCCTGTTCTCATTCTTGATCTCTGAAGTGGCAGAGCTAGGTGGGAGAGGGGAGATGGGGGGGTGTCTCATGCCCACGGCTTAGGACAAGCAAACACTACAGGAAGACCCATATGGCACAAGGGGGCCAGTCCAACTTCTTATTGGTAAACTTCCTTCTCCCGCACCTCCAGAGAGCTACCCCAGGCTCTCTGCACTCAAGGAGGGGCCAGCTGAGTTCTATACCACCCATGTGGTCTGTCATGAAGCAGCGAAGGCCTTTCTCCCCTCAACTGTTCTGATCAGTCAAATAAAACCTCCCTCCCCATATCATGTTGACGAAGAGCCAGGATCCTCGAGGGAGGCTGAGACAGTCTTGGGCTGGGCTCCCTGCCTGGTTCCTGACCCTATTGTAGGATTCTTTCTCCTCTCATCAGGGCCAGTTCACTACATCTGTGAGCAGGAAGTGGTGGGGATGTCATCCACTCAGTCCCTCCCTTTTTGTGGATGGGTGGCCGGGGGGGGGGGGGCTGGAGACTATTCCAGATCCTAGCGCCTCTGAAGTGCCAACGTGACTGGTGACCAGCGAGGTCTGCAAGGTGAAGGGAAGTCAGCTCCCACTGGAGACCACAGGACTTGTCCCTTGTCCCCTAAGACTCGGTTGTTGTAACCCATAAGGCAAGAACAGCAAAGCGCTGTCTCCGTTTCTGTTTTCTTCTCACCCATCTGATGCTCATTCACTGGGTCTGTCTCTCCTGCTGCTAGCAGATGCCACGAGAGGGTGACCTCCCTCCTGGCTCTATCCTGGGGACTTGGATGCCACGCTGCTGCAAGCGGATGAGCACGCTGGGTAACAAGTCGCCATGAGAAGGCTACAGGCAGACTGCGGTTGAGTGACGTGCTGAGGGCTGACGGGGTTTTCTCTCGCCTGCAGGGGGGGTTTGGAATCTTGGAGGAGATGTGAGTCAACTATGTACATTACTACCCCCAGACAGACCTGGAGCTCTGCAAGAGTGCCATCAACGAACGCTACCTCCAGAAATACTTCGACCAGGTGAACAGGTGATGTGCGGCTTCTTGCTTGCTGCCCCTGGGAAACCCTGCACAGAAAATCTCCGCACCTACCCCATGCTCTCTCCTCTTAGGAGGCTGGGTGGCCAAACATAGGGAATGTAAGCTAAGTTCTTGGAGAAAGTTAGCGTGCCTGCCGTCAGACCTATGTGTCCCTGGGAGTGCCTGTGGCAGATATCACCAGTCTCCTGACTTACAAGCGATCCCCAGAACAGCCACTGTCAAGCACCAAAAGTGACATCAGAGACAGAAGCAGAGCCAGGACAGCATCTTAGGCAGTGGATAAAGGGGGCGAGGCTGGAGAGGAAGGTGACGCAAGAGCAGCTGCGGGGAGACCCTCTGCTCTGTCTTTAAGCTGAGTAACTGCCTTGCCTTCCAGTTTCAGCAATGGGGAGGTCTGCACCTGCCCTCAGGCCTCTGTCCCCGAGCGGTTCAGCTCCGTGCCCTGGAACTCTTACAACCGCAAAATGCTCAAGGCGCTGTACAGCTTTGCCCCCATCTCCATGCACTGCAACAAGACCTCAGCTCTCAGCTTCCAGGTAAGACAGCAGGGGAGCCGTGGGTCACGGCACCAATGCAGCACTCGCTCATCCCCTATCCAATGCCCAACAAGCCCCACTGCTGCCTGAATCTTCAATCCCAGGTCTGCCCAGATCCTGAGGAGGACCCCAGGGGCGTTGGCAAGGGATCCTGAGCCACACACAAGCAGCACCCACATGTGATGGAAAAAATAACCAGATAGTGACAGACAGATGGATGGTGAGGGGACAGGTCAGCAATACTGCCAGGAAGGACAAGGAGGCCACTTCTCCTGGGCACAGTAAAACAGGAGACTAACCTCAGTCTTATCTGAATGGTGTGTGAGTGAGTGCCAGCAATCTGCCCAGGGCATAAAAATAGAGCTCTGGCCAAGGGGAGGAAAGAAACCAGCATTCTGTGACAGCAGCTCCACAGCCCCACAGCCCCACAGCCCCACAGCCCCACAGCCCCACAGCCCAGCGTCTCCCTCTTTCTCTGGGTCCTGCTGGGATTCAAAGGTGCCTAATTTATTTCCCAGCAGAGCCAGCCAGCAGCGGCAGTGCCAGCCCTGCCAGCCCAGAGCGCAGGTCAGCAGACCAGCCTGCTGCATTAGGCAGGGGAGTCAGGCACTGCGGCGGGGGGCGGGAGGGGGTGAATGGTCCTTTCCTGGCAGCATTTGGATGCTAGGTTCATTACTAACCCAAACACCCAGCCCATGGGGAGGCTTGCTCACCCCAGAGCAGTTTGGAGCACTGTGGGATGTGGCTGGATCTTAGCTTTTGTAAAAGCCTTGCTGGAGGACAGCAGCTAACACTGCAGCCTGCCTCCATGGATTCTGATCCCTTCCTCAGGTACACAACTGAGTGAAGAGGCGGGCATGGAGGTGGAGAAGCCTGGAGGGTTTCAGGTTCTTGACCAGAGAACACAGTAGCATGGAAGAGGGACATGGATCCTCGGGTGGTAACCCTCAAAGGGTGACTTGGAGGAGGTGGGGAGTGTTCAGCATAGGATACACAAATTTAAGAAGAATCCAACCAGCTAGGGAGACCGCACCCTGATTGGCCCCTCCAACCTCAGTTTACCTTCTGGTCCCTTCCTTACAGGGTGAGTGGAATCTGAAGCCTCTGCCTGAAATCACAAGCACACTGAAAGAACCCACCCCGAACTGCCCCACCCACCAAGCTGTGAGCTGCACTAACTCCACCACGGTCAGCATCCACTGGGGCAGAGACTAAGAAGGGGCTTGTTCTTCAGACCCTCCTCATGATGTCCCTGTGGGCTCACACCAGTTCTGTGTACCCCCTTTTGAAGACTCCCCTTCATAGAATAGTGCCGTACGCCTAGGAGGAAGGGGCATGTCACCCTGGAGACACCTACGTGACTGAGACCATCCCATGAAGTCTAACTGGGCAGAACAAACCTGGCCACACCAGGGCTGTCTCCGTGTAGAGATGACTTGCTATGGGGGTCCAGATTCAGCACTGCAGACCTACCTTGCCTCAAGAACAGCCTTGCCAGGCTGGGTGCAGACTCCCTAAGCCCCCAGTCCCCACCCTGTTGGTCCTCCAATGGTGACTTGTGTTGGTGTTTACCATGACAGCCCCGTTTAAACAACTCTTTGCCGAGTGGCTCATGTTTCCCAGTGGGTGGCTTCCCTGCGACAAGACAGGACAAGGCATTTAGCTAGTTAGAGACTCACCAGGGGAGCTCACTTCATGGCAGAGTAAATAGATATTTTCGCCCACCTAGAGGGAAGCCCCAACAAGTAGTTCCAACACGGAGAGCCGAGATGGCTAAAGCCAGGCTCTGTGGAGGTTAGAGCCGGTTGCTTCTGCTGGTCACAGATCAGGTTCTGGAACAGGTGGCTGAAAGTTTGGCTTAACCCTTTAATGAAGGAGTGACTCAGTCTTCTAGTCTGTAAAATGGGACTCACCCTCACCCAGCACTAACTGTGGACACACAGGAAGGGCTGATGCTCCCTCCCCTATGCTGAACCTTTCTGAGCCCCGTGGTGTCACACCCATTGCCCTGCGTGACCGAGGCCTGCTTTTGTAATTCTAGTCACGCCACCCGCCCTGAATCCTTCTCTTTCTCATCTCCCATTTAAGGGCCAGCTCAGCTCTTTGATGGCTTTGGAAGGGAGAAGGAGACTGGGCTCTTTTCAGCTATTTCAGCAAAACGCAGGCCAGGTTCCCCAGGCAGGGAAGGTGATGGATGAGCTTTGTGTCCCCCCACTGCCACAGGCATCAGCTAAGTGCTGCCTTCCCCTTCAGCGAGGCACTTTCTTACTGCAGAGCGAAGGTGCCCAGACTCTGCGCTGTGTAGTATGAATCATGGCTCCGGGCGCCCATAAGTCATGGGTGTAATCGGTGTGAAATGCCAAGTCCGACAGCCCAGAGCAATGCTCAGCCCTCCGTCATCTTTACAGCCTCAGAGATGGGGGAGGCAAGCTGTCCCCGTAGCTGTGCTTTCCCTCCATGGCTGCCTGCCTGAGCAGCCTAGAGCCAGAGGTACCAGAAAGACTCGCGGGGCTCTGGAGCTTGACCTTTGACTCAGTCACTTCACTCTAGCGGTGTGCCAACTCACAGACAGGGAACCTGAGGCTCGTGGGTCAGTACCTTGCCCAGGGACATGTCCGGACCCTCACACCCTGCTTCCCCTCTGAGCTGTCCTGATCTTTCTCCAGGGAAGCCATCTGCACCCGCTGCTGCTTCTGTTGCGACACGGCCTCACCAGGTGACCAGGGTGTTGTTATGACTACCAGTTGAGGCCTATGGCATCTCCACCAGCTCCCCAAACCTTTCAGAACTTGCTGTGTATCTTCCCTAGACAGATGAGATGACAGAGACTCAGAGATCTAAGGTTAGTTAGGTGGCAAGGCCCCTGTAGAATGTTAAGGGTAACACGGGCTACTGAGATCACCTCCCCTCCATATCCTCTAAGCCAAAACAAGTCTCCAGAACTACCCCTCTTCTGAATTTGGCTGATAGCAAGGATCTGAGTGTGAGCCATTCCCAACTCACTGGGTATAATGCTTTTCCTTGCTGGGTTTGGAGCAGAGGACTCTCCCGCCTCCCAGATGCCTGGGCGTTTAGGAAGTACCAGAGGCTAACGGCTGCTACTCTTTAGCAGTGTGATGAGGGTCTTAAGTACAAGAAGGGTCTTAAGGACAAGAAGCTGGTCCTGAAATAATTCTAGGCATTGCTATCTGGTAGCCCACAGTCTCAGATGGCTATTTAATTTTTATTTAGATTAATTTAAAAAAAATGATAAGCACCAGGGCTAAGGATGTAGCTCGGTTGGGAGAACACTCACCCTAACACGCACAAGCCCTGGCTTCTATCCCCAGAGCCACATTAAATTGGACACAGTTACATGAATACACCTGTCATCCCAGCACTTGGGAAGAGGAGGCAGGAGGATCGGAAATTCAAGGTGAATCCTGGCTACACAAGAGAGTTCAAGACCAGCTTGGTCTACCGGATACTCTGTCTCAAAGCTGAGACGGAAGCTGGCCAGGGACAGAACTCTGCAGTAAAATACTTGGCAAGCATAAGGGCCCGAGTTCAAACCCTGGAACCCATGCGAAGGTGCGTGTTTATAATCCTAGCCCTGGGTATGCGGCAGGGGACAGGAGGATCCCTGAGGCTTGCTGCCACATCAGCCTAACCTGACCCAGGGTGAGGCCTTGTCTCAGAAAACGGAGGACAACTGAAGAACAAAACCCAAGGTTGACCTCTGGCCTCTATACACTTGTATGTGTATGCTCATGGGTGCATATACAGAAACACCACACACACACACACACACACACACACACACACACACACACCAATGTAAAGTATTTACAGTCCCATTCTTTCACATCAAGGATTAGCAAGAGTGTGTAACTCATGGCTGCCACATTCGATGGGGCATCCACAGAGCATCCTATCATTGTGGGGAGCTGCTTGGGACTGTGGCACCAAGTGAACTCCGGAGGGGCACCAAGGGTTGAAAATCCCATCTAGGTACCCGTCAGTAAGCCAATGATCAGGGGCTCTGGGCAGAGCCACCTATACAGCTGCAGGGATCTCCCGTGGGGCACTTGAGGCAGGACCTGTCTTTGGAGCTACAGGACACCCACTACCTGTGATGCAGGTGGAGACTCCTCACCCAGTGCAGAATTAATGACCTCCAAGGTGCTTCCATGAGCTTGCATATAGAGGCTCCTGGACTCGCCAGCCGTCCAAAGCTCCCTGAGTTGACTGCCGCTGCAGCTTGCTTAGCAGTGGGAACCTAAGAACCTGGGCACCCATACAAAATGCCTACTCACAGGTAGTGGCACCATCAGGTCTTCAGTGGAAGAAACTGCAAGTCTCAGTGCCCCAGCAGCCCAAGCTTGGTGTTTAGATGCTCAGCAGGTCTACATAGGGGGCTACTTTATTGAAGACTGCATGGAGAATAAGGAAGAAAGTGGGGGGCAGGGGGACTAAAGGCAGAGGGGGCCACATGCTGGGGAATTCAGGGCTATTTCACCTGACTGAATCCACAACTGGCCAGGAGTGACTGGGCCAGCGGGAAGTCAGGGAGCATGCTGGCCATTTTGCAGCTTGACAGGATGGTCACCTGATGAATGTGTCTGACAGCTGAGTCAGCCACCCTCGGATGCCCTTCACAGATGCCCACCACTGTCTGCCTCTCACCCACCACAAGAGCAGCCTGGTTCCCTCTGCCCACACAGTTTGGGCCTGGAGGGACTCAAAAGACCTCAGCTCCATCTGTGAGCTTTTTCCAGCTCACTTCCCAGAGACCCAGAACGGCTTGCCAGCCCGCTCTCCCCTACCCTGTCACTTGGGCTGGCCCTGGCAATCCTTCTGGCCTCTGAGTTCCCATGAGGTGAAGGTTAAGATGAATGTATAGGCTCAGCCAGGCTGGATGGAGCTCCAGGGGGCTTGGTTGGTCCTCTGGGCAGAGTCCTGAAGCTGAGGCAGAGTGAGACAGCCCCACCTATCAGCCCCCCTATGCAGGCTGGGTGGTTGAGATACCACCAGGGCATGGAGCATGCTGGCCAAGCCTACCTCCGGGCTGTGACACCCGAGCAGCTTGCTGTCTGCTGCCTGTCTGTGTGTCCCTCCTCTCCTTTGCCCAGTGTTTCTGCTGTCTTCCACACAGGCTAAAGGGACATGGCCCTGTGCTAGCACGGTGCATAGGAGGCCTCTGGGATGGGTGGGAGGGAAGAAGCTGGAAGTGACCTAGACATTTTGCTATTAGGGCCTCAGTCCTTACCAGGGAAATGGGCAACTCACCCTGCCACCTGGTGTCTCACCTTTCCCCGTCTCCTCCTGGAAGGCATGTGGCGTGGTACCGCTGGTCTGGCTCTAAAGCAAGCGTTTTCTCTCTACATGTGTGAACTTATATGTGTTGGTATGCAAGCGCATGTACTCACACATACAGAGACCAGAAGTTAGTGTCATCAGCCTTCCCGCCACCTTTGTCCTTATTGCTTGAGATAGGGTGTCTCGATAAACCTGAGTCTCACTGACTGGTAGGCTGGGTGGCCAGCAAGCTCTGGGGATCCGCCTGTCTCTGAGTCCTCCCTCACTCCCAGGGCTAGAGTTCCAAAGCTGTGCCACCACACCTGGGCTTTACTTGGGTCCTAGGGATCCAAACTCAGGTCCTCAAGCTTATATACCAAGCACCTTACCCACGGTCATCTCTCTAGCTCTGGTGAAAACATTATTGCTCAGTGTAACAGAGACCAGGATGGGGCAGCAAGCAAGCCTGTGTGTGTGCCTGAAGATAGCAGGCAAAGGGGGACCTGTCCCCCTGTCCTCTGCAGGGACAGCTCCACCCAGAAACCTCTGAACCCCAACACTGTTGTATCTCACTGGGGCTTCTAAGGGTACCAAGACCTCAGTCCTCTCCCTCCACTACCCGCTACACTCTGCTCTCCACACTTGGGGCATTTTCACATTGGGTTTTCAGTGATTTCTGATAGGCAATGCTTAGTCACAGTGGGGGCCATGTGCTTGATTTTCCAGAAAAACAAAAAAGTTGTTTTTTTGGTATATATATATATATATATATAGATAGATAGATAGATAGATAGATATAGATATAGATATAGATATAGCAACGGATGCACGTCTAGATTGACAGTATCGGAAGCCGGGCCTGAGGTCTCTGCGATCCATTCAGGATAGGGTGCCCTGGAACTTTCCAGGCGAACTTGGGAGGTGATTCTTGACAGCTGCTCTCGCTCAGGGATCCAGCATCCTTCCAAGGATGGGGGAGGCAGGCAAGCAGGCATGGGAAAGGCATGAGAAGTCTGGGAAAACCCAGTTAGGCTGGGAAAGCACTCAGACCTCCCTTGTCCTGAGCTATCCCCAAGGACAGTTGGGAGCTGCATGTGCTCATCGGCCCAACGTGGTGGGGTGCGGGGTGTCTTGGCCAGAACACAGAATTGGGGGCCAGGAAGCTGGGCAATCTGGGCTGCTGCCTTCCTTCTTCTTTCCTCCTTTCTCCTTCTCCCCTCCCCTCTCTGCTCCCCTTACCTTCCCCCACATCTTCCCCCCCCCATCCTCCCCTCCTCCCTCTTTCCCTTCTCTTCTCCTCCCTCCTCCCCTCTTCTTTCCTCTGGCTTCACAAAACCCATGTCATCCAAGAGCCAGCCCTGTGGTCCCGAGAGACCACAGGTGTTCCTTCAGCCATCCAGAGGTTCTTCCACACTCTCCCGCCTCCAGCCCTTCCCCAGGCTCAGGGGACCAGATCCGCGTTTGAAAGGCCAACTCTACCCCACACATCTTTCCATGGCTTCAATTTTATTAGCTTGACCTTTTGCAGCTCAGTGTGTGGTGTGTGAGCCTGGGAAGATTCAGAGCCCACCCAGGACAACCGTGCCCAGATCTCCCCTCTGCTGCCTTCTTTGGGTTTAGGAGAGCCCAGCTCCACACTGCCCTAGCCTTTGCCCCCTGCTCTCCTAGACTACAAGGCATGGACTATAAGACTACATGGTGACCTTTGTTTGAGCAGTCACAGAACCCTAGTTTCGAAGTCAGGGTGTGAGGCAGAGGAGGAAGGCTGGGTCTATAAAAAAGTGACAGACGTTCACCTCAGGAAGAGAAACAGGGTCACTTCTGATATGCGGGCAGGTGTAGCTGGTCACACAAGGTGAGAGGAGTCGCTCTGACCCGCAGGGCAGAGCTAGAGCAGTGCCCTCTCCGGAGGCGGGGTGAGCAGGATGCATCTGTAAGGCAAAAGTCCTTGGAAATGAGCCTTGCAGAAGGTCCGTGCATAACAGCAAGCTTGGTGTCCCTGGACCTATGAGCAAT